AGGAGTTGGAAACGATGAGAAGGAGAGGGAGAGAAGAGATGAGATCTGGGATAGAAAGGGAGATAGGTGAGGGAGGGAGGGAGAATGAGGAACTGATAACCAGAATCTTATCACCTTATCATATCCCAGACCCAAACCCTCCACCTTCAGTTCAGGGTGAGTCGAGTGTGAATACTGTAGTCTGAAAAGCGTAACGGAACCGCCAGTGTGATATAAGCCAAGGCATCGTAACTATAAACCCCCCAAAATCAAAATATTCCAAAGCCGAAAAAAACTACACAGCTGAAGCCACATAAAAGATACCAAAGTATTGAAAAATATATATAATCTAAGGTATGGTATAAAGCCTAAAGCCAATTTTTTCCAAAGGATCATAAATATAAATCAGCGTACTATATAAAGCAGATTAAAGTCCACTGGATAAGTTGAAACAGGGTGAAATATATCTTTGTGTCAGGATGTTGATGAAGAGAGAGAAAATAAAACATATTTTGGGTAAAGAATCGTGTGTTTGTTTGGATCAGAAAGGTGAAAAGGGTGAAAAGAAAGAAATACATTATTGATAGGCGATCGGGCTCTGAAATACTGAGTCAGAGAAACGGAGATAGAAAGGTAGACCAAGAAAAAGAGAGAAAGAAACTAATTAGAAAGACACAAACAAAACAGAAAGAACACAAAAAAACAGTCAAATCAAGCCGCAGACAAAATAAAATATTAAAAAAAAAAAAACGAGAGAAGACGGAAGTTATTAAGAACGAAAGAGCAAATGGCAGGAACAGCAAAACGTTTCTCAGTGAGGGTAAGTTGGCGTCTGTTATCATTCCCTGTCCTTACTTTTACGTGTATTTTAACGGGGAAGGCGAGATCAGTTGCAAATTGAGGAGGTATCTTGGCTTCTGTTATAACGACTGTTCAAGGAAAATATAACCATTAAAAAAATTATTTTCCATCTTTTATGAAAATTAAAGAGACCAAAAGGATCGACCATGTTAAAAAATCATCCGTAACTTTTGTGATGTCATCAAAATAAACCCCACGTGTTTTTTTTGTTGTTTTGTTGTTGTTGTTTTTCAAAGAATAGAATCAGGCGTCATGACACCTCGAGTTGCTACTGATCTAGCCTTCTCCGTGCAAATTAACACGCATGTATAGAAAAAAAATAATTCGTTTGTCATGTCTGCTTTCTTTATACAATCATTCTGATTTGAAAAAGAAAATTAAGACTAAAAATGAATCTTTTATTGAAAATTCTATTTACCAAAAAGACATCGTTGACTTTATATACATTATTAGAATAAAACGAATTGACTTCTATTCTTCATCGTCTTCAGACAGCCCCAGACACCATTTTGTTGAATATCTAAATACAAAAAAACACACACCATGGACTTTATATAAGTTTTTAGATACCCGTGACGTCATAAGAATTTATCAATATCATCCCTCATCAACGGATAGCCCCAAACCGTGACTGTGGTCGTCCGAAACCTCCCTCCGGCCACGACCTCGGACCAACTGCGTTCGATCTGCAACGACTTCGGCGAGGTCGTGGAGGTCGAGATCCCGCAAAAAGCCGGGAATTTTCTGCACTTCATTTATGGGTGAGGTTGTGAGTTCTCTCTCCCGTCCCTGGTTGTGTTTATATTTCTTGGCTTTGCATGGCCATCTTTTCTCTAAGGGTATTTATGTATATATCTATTTGTCCGTTTGTTTATATCTATCGGTCGATCTTTGTGTGTGTGTGTCTGCATGTGTGTCTGTCTGTGTTTGTGTGTGTGTGCTATGCATTTATGTATGTTTGTGTGAGGAAACATGCAGTGCGACAGAGAGAGAGAATAAAACAGATAAGAAAGAGAGAGCGAGAAATAAACAGACATCTCAACCAATCTTTAACCACTTCCTTTACCTTTTTCCCTTCATGAATCTCATAGGTTTGTCCGGTACAGCAGCCTAGAAGTGGCTCTGAACGCCGTGCTGAAACTGAACACACTAGTGGTTCAAGGGAGACAGCTGAATGCAGAGGTAGCGAGAAAGCACTGGCGCAACACCAATGATAAAACAGGTGGGTTTGTTGATAGAGAGATATGGTGAAATACAGTATGTATATATATATATAATATATATATATATATATATATATATATATATATATATATATATATATATATATAGGTTATACGTATGTGTGAGTGAGAGAGAGAAAAAAGATGGAGGGAGGGAGGGAGGAAAGAGAGAGAGAAAGGGAGAGAGGAAGAGAGAGAGAGAGAGGAGGAAGGAGCGGAGAGAGAGAGAGAAGAGAGAGAGAGGAAGAGAGGAGATGCCGAAAGAGACACATCGTCCCAGAGACGAAAAGGAGAGAGAGAGAGGAGAGACAGAGAACGAGAGAGAGAGGGGGAGGAGAGATGGAGTGGAGTGGTGTCGTACATATGTGAATACCCAGTTAGAAGAGTAGAGATTATCAGAACCAGTCACATTTACGCGATGGGGAATTACACTTCTC